TGGCTGTGGTCAGAGTGGATGGGCAGCGAGTGCTTGGAGAATCCAGGGATGGACCACAACACTCCTTAGCAGCTCCCTGCAGTGGGAAGGATTCAGTTGAGAAAAGTGAGATGTGCAGGGGAGGAGGGCAGTGGGAATGGTGGGGTAGGAGAGGGTTGGGCTGTTTGCCAGGACATGCAGTAGGGAAGCACAGGGCAGAGGAGAGAGAGGAGCTGGGGAGGGCACTGTGGTCACCGGGAGAGGGTGGCAGGAGCAGAGCAGCTGCTGCAGGAGAGAAAGGTGGGGTAGGGAGGAAGGCAAACATTCCACTGACCTGTTCCCTGTGGGGCAGCAGCAGGCAAAGGGGTCTGTGCAGATCAGCGGCGCTTCCTGGTCCCTCTTGCTCCTTAGGGATCCATGTCCTAAAGCGTCTCCTGGCAGGTCAGGGACATGAAGAAGAAAGTGCCCAGCTCACCAGGAGGTCCTCACTGCCCACTCTCCAAATGCCCAGCCAGCTCCTCTCTGTGCTCTGTCCTGGTGTTGCTTCCAAAGCTTGGTGGAATCACGGGGGAGTCGGAAATTGCATCTTTGGCTTCGTCAGAGATCCACTTCTACTGAGTCATTTATCTTTTTTTTTTCTTTTTTATTGTCCAGTAAGGAAGTGGCTTTTGTCAGACACTCCTCAAAGAGAATTTTGCAATTGGCTCATCATTTCCTTTTGATTAGAAACATTCCTTCCCTGCAGAATGTCCCTTTCTCCAAGTGCCTCCTCTCTCCCGACAGGCTTCTACCATTCCTCATTTCCCTTCACTGTGGGGTCACAATGAAGGAGCAGAGGGATGCTGGTGGTGCTGTTGGCACTGGAATGTCGGCAGCGCCGGCAGCGCTGATGATGGAAGCGGCTGGGTGCTTCTCAGAAGCATTTCACATTCTGGGAAGAGCTCCGGGATCATTGCCGAAACCTCCCCAAAGGTCCAAAGGACGCTCAGCTGAGCTTCCTCGCCCTGTTCCCATCCCATCCTCATCCCTGCTCCCCATCCCGCTCTCCATCCCCATCCTCTCCCATCCCGCAGCTTTCCGGGCCGGCGGCCGCTCCCTGCNAATTTCTGAAGGCAGAGACACCTTTGCTCCTGGCTCACAAAACTGAAAATTAAAAATCTCAGGGGAGATCTCTGCTGTGATACTCACAGAGCACTCGGGGTGGGGAATGCTGAGCCCCTGGGCCATCGTGTCTGTGCCAGCCCAGCTCTGGCACTGGGGATCGTGGTTGCTCTAGGGAGCACAAGCCATGGCCGTGTCCCCTCCCTCCAGCCACATTCCCGGCTGGCAGTAGCAGCCAGAGGAAGCCGGGAAGCGCTGGTAGAGGGGGCAAAGGCAGCTCAGGGTTCACGGTGCTGTTCCTTGATAGCAGACTCAGTGGGATGCAGGAACCAGGTGCCAGGGGAATTTTGGGATCACAGCTGTGTTGGGAAGGATCCATTTGGGGAAGAGTGCTCCAGGACCTGTGAGGGAGGAGCACAGCCATGCTCCAATGAGAATCCTGCAGAGCATCCCTCCCACATGGCCACTGTCATTGCCCCTGCTCCTTTCTCCTGCAGGATTACAGCACCACAGGGAGGGTGATCCCATGGATATTTATTAATCAGGTGACTCAAAGAAACCCTCGGCCACTCTGCCAAGGTCCTTCAGTAGAGCAGTGGAAAGAATCAACAGGTTGGAAAGGCTGTGTCCATGGCAGGATCATGGCTGTGGGCAGTGTTTTCTTCTGGTTCCTCAAAGACCCTCTGGAGGGAGAGCCGTAGGGATCCCACGGAGTAGGGCCTCCTGAACCTCCCCACCAAGAGGTAGATGATGGGGTTGGTGCTGCTATGGATGCAGGCTAGCAGGAAAAGAACCTGGGAGGACACAACGGTGTAGCCGAGCTGCTGCAGGAAATTGGAGAGGCTGAGGGGGAGAGCA